TAATCTGGCCTTTTGAATTATCAAAATTTTAAAATTTGTTTTATATTTATTGCATGCTGCTCTGTAAAAATGTGACCTGTAAATGTACAAAAACCTAGTAACATGTGAGCAATATGACTTGTAAAACACCTTGGATATTTAGCATTTGATTAGCCACTTATCAGATTGACATTATCACTTATTTTATCTATATATTAACAATCTCTAAGATCTAAATTAACAAAAATATCTGAGCTAATTTATATTTACCAAAAATCTGGGCCCAAGGGCTCCAAATCATTACAAGTAATCCTCATTCAGCAACCACTGTACTCAGTCATTAAGCAAAGCAGTCAATAAGTGAAACCATGACTATGCTTATATTCTTCCTTCAGCTTCCCTTTGCTTTACAGCAGGGGTGTCAAACTCAAGTTTCACTGAGGGCCACCATGGTTTTGCTTGACCTCAGGAGTAGGGGGTGTGGGCAGGGGGCATGGCCAGCTGAACATCATTCATCAAAGCTCTGTTTTCAGCCATGACAACCTTCTGCAGCACTCTGTCAGCAAAAACAGAGCTCAGAGATGCTCCATTTTCACTCCCAAGCTCTGTTTCCACTGGTAGAAGCACCGCAGGCCAATCCTTCACTGTTTTGGGGGGGCACAGGCCAGATCTAAGTCCCCCGCAGGCCTTGAGCTTGACATTCCTGAGTTTGACACCACTGTTTTACAGACTTGTGTAGATCACAAATGCAAGAATTTGCCACAAAGTTACTTCTTTGTCAATATCATAACTATGAATGGTTGCTGCACAGCAGTCACTAAATCACTACTGTATTTAAAACTGATGCCCATCCATAATTACAATTGTTTTATTAGAAGCAATCAAATTGCCTTTAATTATTTCATTAATATTTCACCTAGAATTATAAGCTGTATATACAGTTCATTCAGGTTTCTTCTCTCTACATAATACAGTATTTGAACTACAGTTTCTGCAGTTGTTGCAGCTGCCGGACATTTCAACCTGATTTTAAACAATCATGAACTGATATTCTATCCATTATATTTGGACTGTGCTATTTCTAACTCTCTAGAAATTACAACTCTTCTGCAATTGCCAAATTGGCTAGGATTAATAAGAATCTATTTGACAAAACATGGACGGTCACATCTCTAACTTATAATATATTGATCTGTCTATTAAATTATTACTTTTATTATTGTTTAGATGGTGGGGTGACAGAGATGATTATTAAAACAACTCTAGGAGTTTTTATATAAAAGAAATTTTCACACAAGTAGTAAAATCCTTCATTATGTTTTACAAACAAACAATAAAAACTTTTTGTATAAAAGTTTGGAAACTCTGTGTTTGTCTTTCATGTTTATCCTTGCTATTTCATTTAAAGTAAATATAATATTCTGATTATATTTTCCCAGAATATCTATTACAAGACTTTGCATTTTTACCTGCAACTCAGCAATATCTGCTAGAACAAAAACTATATTACATGAAACACAGATAGTCCTAAACTTACAACTATAATTGGGACTGGAAAATTGTCATTAAACAATGTGGTCACTAAGTGAGCCATCATGTTACTCCATCTGATTTTACCACCTTTTTTGCCTATGCAGTTGTTAAGCAAGACATCACACAATCACAATTTGCAACCTTCTCTGTCAGCTTCCCCATTGACTTTGCTTGTTGGAAGCAAGTGAAGAAGATCACAAATAGAGATCATGTGACCCCCAGGACACTTGCAACCTTGTAAGTACATGCTTGTTGCCAAGTGAAAAAATTGCAGTCACATAACTGCAGGAACAATGCAATGGTCCTAAATGCAAGGTAGTAAGTAACTTTTTTCAATGTTGTCATATTGTAATTTCAGTCACCAACCAAATAGTCATAAATCAAGGACTACTTGTACTGATCACCTGCATATAATCTGCAATGAAATAATAAAATATCAACAATAAGTAATTAGGCAAACAGCTTAACATTTTTAAAAATGTGTTTATTCCATAAGTTTTTCCCACTGCAAGTGCGAATTTGGTTATACAAACCTTTAAAGTAGATATTTGAATTGAAAATTACTCAATTAAATCTCTGGATCTAATTAATGTTTCACATCAGATCAATGAATCATTAAATCAAATTGTATCTACAAATTTATCAACTTTGCAAATCAAAGTGAATTTACATCAATTCAATGATTTTTTTTTCCAGTTTAATGGAGAATTTTCTATAATACTATACATGAAAATTGATTTGTTAAAAAGTATTTAATGACAGTAAACCATTTGTTTTCTTTGATGGTCATTTTAACATTAATCAAAACACTACCTTTTATTTTAAGAAGAAACTGAATATTTCATTTTAAAGAGGCTATTGAATCTTATTCTTATGAACATATGCGTATATTCTATAGGAGTTTGTCACTTGTAATTTGTAATTTGTATTCTGTATTTCAGTTCTTGAGAGATATTTTCACAAAGAGCAATTTAAGATGAAGGTTTAAATGTACCATCTAAAATCCCATAATATAACTAAATCACATTATAATTATTCACTTTTTACATTACAATTTAAATGGCAGGAAATTCACATATTCTGACTCTCAGCCTTTTCCAAACAACAACCCTGTGAAGTGGGTTGGGCTAAGAGTGACTGGTCCAAGATTACCTAGCTAGTTATCATAGCTGAGGCAGGATTTGAATCACAATCTCCCAATTTCTAGCCTGGTGCCTTAACCATTAGAACAAATGGGCTTAAGAAACCTATAGAAATGGCTCTTTGTGTAGCTGGAGAAATACCAATATAGAGGGAAGCATATGTAGCTCAAAGTTGAACCATGGAGTCCTCTTTGAGCCTGTTATTTGCTTGCAGACAGTAACATCATCAGTGCTGGACCATTTCAAGTTTTCAATTAGAATTTTATATTTATTGAAACATGCTTTCAGCAAGTATTAAGCATAGTTTTAAAAAAGTTAATTCTTTCATAACTAGATCCTGCGCATATTTCAATAACCAATTCTAATGTAAAAACTATCATAGTAGTTTATCACCAAAATCTTTTTTTAAAAAACAAGTGGGACTGAATTCCTCATATGAATATGCAATAGCAGAAGATACCCCAACAAAATTAGTGACAGGTTTATGAATGGATAAAGTGTTATCTGACACATCAACAGGTTCATGGAGGTTTTTATGCTTCTGCAATGGCAAAACAATAAATAAGAATTTCAGAAAATGGATTAAACACTTTATCTCCAGGGCATGATCTGCTTAATGAATGAAAGCTGCTTTATTTTGATAACCTTATTCCACTGCTCTACTGAAATAAATAAGCAGTATCTTTACATAAATGCAACAAATGTAGCAACTTAAATAATGATGTTTATTTTAAAAGACACCTTTGAAAACTGAAAAGCAGATGTGAATGTTGAAGAACTGCCAATAGTTTATCTTAGAGTCACAAACCTCATAAAAGCCAACAGAGCTTTAATTTTCACTCATCCATAAACTATAAATGTTAAATATCCCATTTCTAACTGTGTTAACAGCACTGTCACTCTGTAAGACTAGATAACATTTACTAAAAATCAAGACAATATGAGATATCCAAGTGATTATTTCAGCTTCTGCTATAGTAATAAATTAGCACAGAATGTTTAAAACTTAGTCACAATAAGACCCCACAATTTTTGCAAGGTTATTCATTTTACCATCAAGATAGAATATTCTCATGTATTCAGCTATTTCATCCGTTTTGCTGCAACAAATTTTTCATTCAGAAGCACCAAATCATATATAATTGAAGGTCATTCTTATTTTCTCTCTGATGTTAGACAACTGAACTTCTGGTACAAATTAGAGGTGAATACTGCCATACACTTCTGCATTAACTCTTACACACCATGAACTGAATGAGGGTTCCATATAAAATGCTACCTCTCTATAGAGGGAACATTTTTGCATGATTTAGATATGAAAGTGATTTAAAAAAAACATCTATTCAAAATAATCAGATAATTCATTCCCAGTGCAATGAAATAATAGATCATCTCCTTAACACTCTGTAAAAGACACAGCCCTTTTCAACATGTCAAACCCAATAGCTAGCAAGATAATAGGGTTAAACATTCACACATCAACTAGACAGAAGAAATGCAATCTGTAGCTGCATGTTAATGTTGCACAATTAAAAGGGATTAGTATCAAATCCTCTTTATAATCCATTAAAACTGAGAATAAAATTAAATCTATTTTTATAAAATATTGTATCTGGAAAAGCAACAGATAGGCCGTGCAATCTTACAGGATAGAGCAATATCCCATACAGAACTGCAAGCAGGGCAACTCAAGTTCATTTATAGATGATACTGTTCTATGTGGATGTTGAAACCATAGGTTGGATGAGATCTGAAGGGAATTTAAGTATGAAAGTTGGGGAAGGGATTACAAGAATCAAACTTTATGGGGGCAAAGGAGGAGATCAATGCTAGAACAGCAGTATCTACTCATTCACTGTGAAAAAAAGCTGCTCACTTCTGGATGTAAGTGATTCAGCTGCCACAGGCCTGATCAAGTTGAAGAAGGAGGTTAAAAAAAAAACTTGTCAGAAAAGGCAGGAAGGAGAAGACCAGCAGGGCAAAAGGCAGAAGTGAGTTAAGGGCAAATCAGGCCTGTGAACCTAGAGAAGCTCTCTGTGGACCAGTGGAAGATGAAAGACTCCCTAGGTAAGCCTCCGAGTAGCTCAAGAAGACCTCCTAACTCCTCCCCCTCTTCTATGGGCTGGTGGAGGATTTGTCAAAATGAGGAAAGAAGGAGAGGAAAAGTAGGATAGAAGATGACGGAGCACTTAGAGAACAGAAGTGGAGTTAGGGAGTTCCAGAGCTCTTGCCCGGGCAAGGCAAGGAGAACCCGAAGGAAGACCTGCGTGGGACAGCGCTCTCTCTCCCTTCGATGGGGAAAGGGAGGCTGCCCATGCCCCTATTGGTGGGGTGGAGCCCCCTTACCAGGTTCAACACCGTCTCCACGATGTCCCGGTTGCTGACCTCCCCGACTTGAATGAGTCCGATCAACACGGCAAATTTCATGCGGATGTTGCGGATGGGCACGGACGGATTAATCATCCCGGCGGGCAGCACGACCGAGCCGGAGCCCGATGCCCTCAGCTCCCCCATCACGGCCGCAGAGGAGCTGCTGCCGCCGCCGCCGCCGCCACCTCCGGCCACCGCTGCTAGAGCAGGTGGTGGGGCTGAAGCTCCGCCGGTGCTGCTGGCCCCGACAGGGATGAGACCCGCCGGTTGCGGCTCCGGCCCCGACACGGGCTTGTCGCTCGCCATCTAGCCTCTGCTGCTGCTGCTGACCCTGCCTGCCGCCGCGCTCCTCCCTGAACGAGAAGCTGCGCTTCCACCGCAGCTGCAAGACCACGGGCAGGAGCAGCGCCGGCGGGGGCCGCTAAACCGGACCAAGCCGCCGTCGCCTCGCCGAAAGACCGTCCCAGGAGCCGCTCCCCCGCTCGACTCTATAATGAGATTATTATGGGCTCCGCTGCCCCGTTAGCCGGAGCAGCTTCTTGCCCGCTCCTCTCCAAGCAGAGGCGGGAAAAGCCTCCGCGGGATTACCAGCCGGCCGAGGGAGGAAACCGGCGAGGGCGACGGGGGGGGCAGAGAGCCGCTCCGCAGCCCCCGCTGTTGTTGTGGAGCCAGCACCGCCGCCGCTGCCGCCGCTCACTCCGCCATGTTGCCGCCCCCTGCCTGCGGTAGCTGCCAGGGCGCCTGCGCTGCGGAGCCCGCGGAGGAGTGGCCCGGCTCCCTCAGCAGCCCCTTTTACCCCTCCTTCTTCCGTCGTGTCCCGCACATTCGCCGGGAGAGAAAGTCGGGAAAGGGGCTCCTGAGCTCGTGGCGGCCGAGCTGCCGCCTGCCTTTTTCGCCCCCAGAAGCGGCGGCGGCGGCAGCGGCGGCGGCGGCTTCCCCAGGTCGCGATAGCGGCGAGCGGATGACATAACGGGTTTGGGTTTTCCTCCCTCGACCAGCGAGACCTCCTTCCACCTTTTACGGTTGCAGCGGCTGCGCGAGAAGACGACGGCGTGCTGGCAAAGAAAACCGGCGGGTCCGGCTTATTATGGCCCCACGCGACGACCGCGGCGGGAGAAGCAGGCGTCCACGGCCGGCAGCTGCCCACTCCGCTGCCGCCCGCCTGCCTGCCTGCCTGCCTGAGGAGAGCCCGATAACCGCGCGAGGGGATCCAGCGTTCTGCCAAGAGCCCACGTTTCTGGCCTGTGCGGGGGAGGGAGAATCAAAGTGGCGGAGAACTCCCCACATTTTGAATGATTTCACCACATTTGTACTGGTTGGTCTACTGCTGAAGGCAGTTGACACCCAGGGCCGTCACCTGCAATACAAAAGCCACGATGCGGTGGCGGAGAGACCGAGGGGGGAGAGAATACATAGGTTTCTAGAATGGCTCCCCGTGCAGGACGATTTGCCTAAACCACTTCTCATTTCTGCCGCCCGTATTAAAAATAACAAATTCATAGGTTTCCTAGCATGATTTTAACCAGGTTTTAACACCACCACCACTTCTCGAAGTTTGTGGATGGTGAGATAGAAATGATAGATCCATCCATTTGTGGCTTTGGACATAATGATGTCAGACTTCAAAAATTAGTATGAATCTCCTACCCAGATCTACTAACTATCGAACTCTAATTCCAGCATAAAAATAGGGAAATGGTATAAAAATGATTTCTAAGCATAGTCTATATTTCTAAATCTACCAAATCATAACAAACCTCCACAGTTTTTACTGGAAATATATACATTCATTGTTTTTATACGTTTGGGGTGACTACTTGGATATGAGGTATGGATCTTCATTATAATTCATGAAGTATATCTAATCTATCATTATGTTGTTTAAGTGGATACATAGACAATAAAGTAAAAAATGCTAACAAATTCAAAGAAATTCCCTTTCTGACTTTTATTCTGCTTATAAGTAGGAAAATCAGGTACCCAAATATATTTTGGCCCAGCTTAAAATATTAAAATCAATGCTTTGAATTGAGCCCAGAAAACTGTTGGCAACCAATACAAATCTGTCAGTAGAGACATGATGTAATCATGATTCCATACCGTGCATCAGATAGCAGCCTGCTGCATTTTGCATCAATTAACGCTTAAGGGTTCTCTTCACATTAGCACATTGGAAGGTATTAGCAATAAAGTAGCATTCCTAGAATCCCCTTGATATCTGTTTCTTGACCTTGCTTATCTCAAAGGGCTGACATCAGTCTTTAAAGCTTCACTACTTTCTTATCAGAGCAGCATCAAACCTTGCCATTATATCTCGGAAGAGGGTGGTTGATCCTCAGCATACCCTGAGGTCTGCAGAAGTTCCCAAGGAATTCTTATAGTATTATAGAGGTTTAGCAACTAACCTTGAAAACAGTGCAGAAATAGTTGGGATACTTTCAGTTACTTCTTGAGAAGTAAGGGTGGGGGAGAAGAAACTCAAGATACCCACCTTCTTTCTATATTATGGGGGGAAATAATTTCAAGATTCTGTTATACCTTAAAAGAAAGCTGTAATAGTTCTCGTGGCCCCTTATTACCTACTCTGGCCCAATTTGAAAGACTGACATTAGTCTCAAAAAGTTTTTGGCTTAATCGTGAGATGACATCAGATCCTTGGGGCACCCCACTATCCATAGAACAACTTCCTGAGCCATGGTTACAACATTAATAGCAGATTGATGCACAATGGCATAATTGTTTTGGACAAAATAACAATATTTGGAACAATATTTGTGTCATCCAGGAATGGTTCCACAGCCTACGGCCCAACTAATACTGGTATTTCTTCGCTCTTATGGGATTTTGTCAGAAAAATTTGGAGGAACTTGGAGTCCATTCGACTTTTACAATCCTATGTGAATTGTTTACGGGAAGTGGATCAAAAGAATTTTCTACAGATCACCCCCAGAATGACTTGAAAATGCTGAAATAATAGAAAACCAAGTGGGCTATGCCCTCATTTAGGGCAATGATCCATCACTGGGTAATTACCAGATTTTCATGCAAATATTTAGAGATGCATTTAACCATTCATGTAACAACATGACAACAAATTAAGAGGTTTTTGCAAGCTGAAACAGCAATTGCAGAGGCAGATTTTTAATTTTAAGACAGATAGGTGGAGTAGAATGATCTTGCTCTGATTGACTAATTTTTAGAAGGACTTGCTAATGAACTGAGAAATAATTAGTACTATGAGATGCACCAGAAAAATTGAAAGAACTGTTCCAATATTGTGTGTTAATTAATGGGTGACTGAAGAAGTTGAGGCATAGAGAAATTCATAAAACATGTAAACAGTGTAAAATATCCTCTCCTTGTCTTCTCAGACAGCTACATTGGAGAACTTATTCTCCAATGTAAAGAACCCCCTCAGCAGAAAAAGAGAGCGGGAGATATCTTCTTCTGGGGATTCTTAATCAAGACTTGAACTGCTAAAGCACAGACCTTTGAATGTGTTAAGTGCCACATAACAAGCAAATGCCCAGATTACTCCAGATTGCTTTCTGATCATCCCAGAAAGATCTCAGACTCTCTTCCCAGGATACACATAGAGAAATCACATAAACAATCAACCACCGTTTCAAATGAGTAAATTTCATAAGGTAAAAAAACTCTGTCTTTCCTGGTTACCCTCACCAGTAGAGGAATGATTACAGATTAGAAAAATCTTCAAAAGACACCCATACTAACTTCAGTAGCAAAGTAACTCAATCTCTCACAAGAGGAGCTGTGTAAGAACATTATTTAGACAAGCACAAACATATTTTACAGATGCTTAAATCTCTTTGTAAAACTCAAAAACTCACAATATTCATATTTATTTATTTATTAAATTTGTTTGCTACAAAGTAACTCATTCCCATTACCTAATAATTTGATCTCATTAACACATAACATAACCGACATCTGTTGTACTGATTAAAATTAAATGTATATTATCATTTGCATAAAACTACATATAGGAGTTGCATCCTGTAGTTTGGCCTCTGCTATCAATTTGTGTTTGGTCTCCTGTTCAAAATGAACTCTTTAACATTCTCTTTAAATAATAAATATGTATAATTAATTTATCAATGTTATATATAAAACTTGAAATATATTTATTATCTGTACTATCATAATCCTAGCTTGCAGTAGTAGTATCCCTTTGTGTGCAACTTCATAAAAGGATCAGAAGGAAGATACACATGCATTGGCATATGCATATATTACATTAAAAACATGCATTAAAAACAATTCCCCAAGCTGTTTTTCAAGTTTCAGTCATGCATTTTGTCTCTACACCTCCCTGCCCACAAGCCATTTGGAGTAAAGTTAGAAGATGTAATTTCTCAACAAAGAAAAACCACAGTAATTAACTACTTAAATATAACATCAATGACTATTTCTTATACCGGTAGGCATTGAATGACATATCATAATAGTGGTTTCACTATTATAACAGAATTATAACAAGTACCAAACAGACAAACAATTGTGCCTGTCTGTCAAGAATTGTAATATTTTTTAACTTGTGTGTATATTCAGAATTTTAGACTTTGTTGTAGACATATTTCTCAGCTAGAATATGTAGATAATCATTCTTCTGTAACATGGAATGGTAAGACTCTACTTAAAGTACCATTCTAAGCACCAAATTGCAAAAAGTTTATAGAAAAATGCTAAGTTTCAGTGACAGCAATAACTGATTTTAAAACCCAAGTCCTAAAGGAATGAATAAAGGAACTGGGCATATCTACCCTGTAAGAATAAGGAGGAGGATATATTTGTTATATTGGTTTCTTTCACTAACTAAAAGAAAATTCTGTTGTAATATTTTTCAACTACTACCTTTTACAACTACAAGTAATTACTATGTGGTTTGTTTGGTTTTAGTTGAGCATATTGCATAAATTCAGTCATTGTGGTTTGGAAACGGATCTGTCATCTAGAGTAACCTGTTGGGCTCATTAATGTGAAAACTCAAGCCTTGAGAGTGTTTGCATTTGTGTGTATGCAGTTTTCTTTTTTATATAAAAGTTTATTGAACATATTGGAGTATAAAGTACAAATGAAAATGAAAATAGAGAGGGGGGAAAGGAAAACACAGAAGTATAGGATAAAGGGGGGGAAAGAAAAAATACATTAACTTCTGACCTTTTTCAGTGTAGTAGAATGAGCAAAATAATGTGAGTGTCTCAATTTTTTTGCTTTGCATACTTAGTATATAGTAGTCATTTATATAACAAAAAAAATCTTGTCAAATCAATGCCAAAATCAAAGTTTCATTTTTTTTCTATCTCAAGCACAAAGGATTAAGATAGAAAAACAAGCAGCAGATTTTGTGTTTGACTGCTTTCCAGACACGAAAGTGTTTTCCAGTTAGATGTCTTCTTTTCTTTTATTAAAGCAGTTAATTTGGCCATCTCCGCTATTGCCATCAGTTACTCCAACCATTCTTTCATTCTGGAAATTAATATATATTTCCATTTTTGCATATAAACCATCCTTACTGCTGTCAACATGCATACATCAAAGTTCCATTTTTTTCCAAGTTCTCTGTCAATTAAACCTAGAAGAAAAGTCTCTAGTTTAATTTGTACAGTATATTCATTTTAGGAATCTTCTACATTAAAATAGGAATCTTACCCCAGTATTTCTTTGCTTAAATTGCTATGTCAACAACTCTTTTAACAGTCCGAGAAATAGAAGTTAAACTGAATTATGTGAAACATAAGTAGTTTGTCATTGCCTTTTTTGAGGGCTGATGAGAGGACTAAACTC